CCACCACCAGGACTCACTGGGGCTTACAGCTGAGTGTGGGGCGGAGAAGCCAGGGGACAGAAAGTGAACGCTAGGCAACGTTTGACATGATGGACGTGGTTTATAGGAACTTAGACCCTAACCATAACTGCAGCGGTCAGACTTTATAACCAGCACGGCCCCTAGTAGACCCCCCCCCCCCCACACACACACACACACACACACACACACACACACACACACACACACACACACACAACAACACAGACTATGGCCCAATCCCAAACCACCCTACTCCTACACACTCCCCCTCCGTGACGGAGTGAACTCCGTGGAGTGACACTCGCAGCTCAACGAGGCTCCCTCCTGTCAGATGGAGGGAGTAAATACAGCGGCAAGCTTTGGGACAAACTCCCCTCTCTCCGGCAGAAACAGGAAATGCCGTAACTGTATGTAACAACGGTTTCAAATCAGCATCTCTTTTGACAAAACATTCAAATTAATAACAAAAATAAAACTCCAAACATCTTTCATTGTGTTACTTTTTTGTAAAGCTCTTTTAGTTTTAAACCTGATTTTTATAAGCTTCTTAGTTTTTGCAACAATCTGTAAATATACACAACTTTATAATAAAATGCTTGGTTTGGGATTGGGCCTAAAACACCTCTTGTTGTTAAATACCAACTATTTGCAATATGTGCAATAAATATATATTATATATGCCGTTAAAAACTGTGCAATATACCTGGCGGCTAAATCCTCAGAACTGTTACAGGATGTGTATTTTTGTCAAATGTAAACTTTTTATCATTTCTTTTTTATCTTTAGTGCTTTTTTTATGCATGCTTAGGTAACATTAAGCTGTCTTTGGCGCTTTTCTGCTGTAACAATGTAAAATGATCCTCTGGGGGACTAATACAGGGATTCTGATTCTGTTCTGGTGCAGGTAGGGGCTAGGGATTTGTATTTGGTTTAGTTTAAACAACATTTCTTCTACTTAGTCTCATGGTAGCTATATTTTCTTTTTGAAATGTATTAAAACAAGTTTGTTGAGAGTGAGTCTCACACTACACGGTACAGATTAAAATAATACTGTTTTAATAAATCTCCAAGTACAATATAAAATAATAAATATTATTACAAAAGTGTAAGACAGAGGTGAATGATTTGTTTACTATTTAAAAGTGTCTAATTAAATGTTATGTTCACTTTGCTATTTAACTTAAAACATGAAATCATTTCTCTAAATACATTTCCATCTTGAGTTGTAGTTTCGCTTTTATATTTTCCACGCGGTTTACAGCCTTGAGTCTTTCCATTGGTCTCCTTGAAGGTTTTTCCCCCTAAATTGTTGCTATACATTCTAATGTACTGTTCCTCAGCAGGTTGGACACCATTTAAAGGAAGTCAATATGTGTGTGGTAGATTTGTGTTTGCTTGTCATTTAGAAACATGATTACAGTGTTATAGGAAAGAGGCAGTTGGGTGAGAGTGGGCTTCAGCATTTTCCAGACTCGCAACCAAAATCAATGCATATCCCCTTCAAGTGATCCCTTCACTGTGGATGCAGTCTATGCTGACAAGTAATTGAATGTAATAGTATTCTTTGAAATAATCAAAACTAGAAGGGCACTCTTGAGAGCGCAGAACAGGGCTTGAGAGAAAAATAATGCAATATAATAATAATAGGTTCTTCTTCCTCCGCCCAAGCTACAGCCTTACACCAAGTTTAATGTAAATCAGGGCTGTAGTTTTTTCTCTTACACGGCTGACAAACAAACAAACAAAAACACACACATCGAAAATAAAGACTAACCTTCTAGGCAGAGTAAACAATCTGCTAGTTGGGTTAGATAATGTCACAATGATTTAATGATAAGAACCTTGCCTTTCTTGTGTAAAAATATATAAAATGTTTGCTAATATTCACAGCCGATCTAGATCTTAATAGCTGCTAATTCAACATATTGAATGATCTGGTCAAATATGCCACTTAAATAGGGAAATCCCAGCCACACCGCTTAGTCTATGGAAACAATATGATTGGAAAGTTCATTTGCTGCGAGTGTCACATTTTGAGGTATTTTCCCATAAAGTGAACCATCTTCTGGAGTTCATTTCCTCCATAAAAGGCTTGTCTCGGTGTAACATTTTGATAGCACTTTAATTTATTCATGGCTTGCCTCAAAGTGCTGAACAAGAAGATGCATCATTTATCAGATTTTCACAACTGTCCAGATTTAACCGCACAGAAGGTTGCAAAACGTAAACAGCAGATAGTTTGTTGAAATAGAGCTGGGCGATAATTCTAGGAATTTGGCACTACTTCTGACCTTTTGATTTCACAGCGCCAATGATAAAGTGTTCTTATTGGAAATATTAATTGCAGGTTAACTTGACTTGTCAGAGTTTACAAAAATGTTGGTTTGGGCTCCAAATGTTCTTTCTGTGCTGCCAATTTTCCAATCATTACTGATGAGGTTCAGTTCAAATGTGAGATGAACCAGCCACCCATTTCCCCCCTCTTTTTCTTCTGGATCCCAAGATGCCATGATGGCTCGAGGTATTTGTCAAAATCAATAACAGAATTGTGCAGCTTAATGTCCAATTAGCTTTCCAAGGTCCTTTTGAATAGGCAGTTAGTCAACAATTGTCCAGCCTCCTGTCTTGTTGTACCTGTCCTTGGCATATGGGCCAATCAAAACTTGATGAAGCATCCAATCAACACACGGAGCCGGCCAACACTTGAGTGTCCATGTCATGGTGTGTATTAACTTGATTTATAATCCTTGCTGTGCGTCATGGGAAGCCACGAGGCCAAAAACACAGAGACGCTCCTGGCCCTCGTCTTCATTAGCTTGGCTGCCTGCCTGGGAAAAGCATGGAGGAGGATTTGGACACTGAGCCTCACATGGTGGCATAAAGAGGAAGGCAGTTAGGCATGGAGACAATGCTGGCAGGAATGGAATCGGGCGTATTTTGCTATCATAGAAATACACGGTAACTGATCTGCTACTTCCTGTAATGCGATACAGTGATGCAGATACCTGGTTTTAGTTTCTACTCTCTCACCATTAGGATTACAACTTACACATATTTAACTGTCAACTAATCTGCCAATTATGTCCTAGGCTAATCCTTTGGTCTATACAAATGTGAAAATACCCATCCCAGTTTACACAAAGCCAAGTTGATATCTTTAACTGTCTTGTTTTGTCAGTCAAAATCCCAAATATATTTAATTTTAAATAATATTTAAAAGGCTAAAAACTACATTATTTGCCATTTTTGCATAGAATATTACTCTAACAATTATTCTCTTATCAAAATGGTATTGTATTGTCGATGGACTTGTCATTGCTCCTTTACTCATAATGTGGAGATTTAAAAAAAGTTACAAACGGATGCAAAAAAGCACGCGGGAAGAGCTTTGCTGCTACAAAGATTCTTGACCTGCTGCCATTTAGGTTCCTGGGAAACAATATATGTAAGCAGTTGTTGCTTTTAATACATACACCTTTATTAATACCATTGTTCCCTTTTGAGATATTTCAAGGTTAGTGAAAACGCAGAAATATCATACCTGCTGCAATAGTAAAATAGCCAAATATTTTCACATTTTAGAGTGGAAGGAACCATGAAAAGTAACCAAAAACAATATCAGAAAAACTGTGCAGTATCATCACTGCCATCATCCAGGTCATATTCAGGTCATAGAGATGTTGTGAGTGGCTGACAGGCATGTAGAGATGGAGAGAGAGAGAGAGATTGGCTGATGGACAGATAGGAGAGCTGCCAGGTCTACAGACGATATGGAGAAGGAAATCATCCGATGTCAGTAGAAGCAGACAGAGATTGACACAGACATATAGACAGGAAATGCACTTTCCCAAGCTTGTCGATGCCACTTGAATAAGGGCTGTGTAGGAGGAAAAAACGCTCTGAAATTGAAAGAGCAGCACTAAAAGCTGGCCCTTTTTCCTTTTCTCGTCTGTGTCGTCTTCCCTGTTTGCCCCGGAGCTCCTCTTTTCAGCGTCAGCCCCCGTGTCAGGGCTCAGCGCTCAATCTTTATCCTCAGCTTCCCCGAGCCTTGTATGAAAAATTATAATTTAGTTCTGTGTGTGTGTGTGTGTGTGTGTGTGTGTGTGTGTGTGTGTGTGTGTGTGTGTTGTGTGTGTGTGGTGTGTGTGTGTGTGTGTGTGTGTGTGTGTGTGTGTGTGTGTGTGTGTGTGTGTGTGTGTGGTGTGTGTGTGTGTGTGTGGTGTGTGTGTGTGTGTGTGTGTGTGTGTGTGTGTGTGTGTGTGTGTGTGTGTGTGTGTTGTGTGTGTGTGTGTGTGTGTGTGTGTGTGTGTGTGTGTGTGTGTGTGTGTGTGTGTGTGTGTGTGTGTGTGTGTGTGTGTGTGTGTGTGTGTTGATTTCGTTCCTCTTAAGCCTACATTTAATTGGGTTCAGTTGTCCTGTTTTTTTTACATCAATATGTGAGAGATGTAGCAGTTAATTGATTAGTTGATGAATTCATAGTTAATTGCTCTGCCCTGACGTGCCACTTAATATAATATTGACAGAAAGCAAAGGTTGTAATTCAAACAAATGGCTTCATAAAGGAGCTCTTTCTACCTCAACAGTAATGGTTTTAATGATTATGCCTCTACGAATCACCTGGCTCATTTGTCAAGAATATCCAATCACTTGCAGCTACTTTTATTCTTCTTGATGATACTATACAAATATTGTTTGTTCTGCTGTGTATGATTTTGTTGGATTTGAGTGGCACCATGACTGACAACAGCTGTTAAATAATAATCCTATTACCCTAAAATTACCTATTACCCTAAGTCAATTTAAACTAAAATCATGTTGCAAATATTAACGTCATCATCCAGAGATCTTCCTCAATGCCATATTCTGAAGGTAGAATCATGTGTTACAGGATGTGTGTCTGTGACGTTACACTTGTGTTTTGCTTACTCATGAGGCTTCACATCTTCTCAAATGTTTTTTTGTTGTCTTTGTTTTTTCAGATGATGAAGCATGCATGGGACAGCTACAGGCAGTACGGCTGGGGTCACAACGAGCTGAAGCCCCTCGCCAAGAAAGGACATTCCACAAATATCTTTGGTAAGCCAGACAGACCGTTCTGTGCCCATTGGCAGTTACATCACACATGGATGCATGCATATACAAACACACACACACACACTCTGTCTCTCACACATACTCACACTCAAGCGCCATGCCTTTTCCCTTGTGGACAAGGTTATGTGATAATGCCTCTGGCAGGATGCATATCACTTTGGGAAGAGTCGTTGCGGACAGAAGCACAAGCTCACTGAAAGGAGAAAACTCACATTACTGGTAGAAAATAAAATGTATATGATGTACTGGTAATATTTTACCTATTGAATGTTGGATTTTGCATTAGACAGCATGAGGACAAACACTTTGTGAGGTCTTCTTCAAGGTCCAGTCATAAGGGAAATTACTGTTTGTCAAAAAGGAACCTTGCCATTGGCAGCGCTCATTTTTCCCAAAGAGAGGTCAGCCTCTCATCATTTGTGTTTTTGGAGGCTGTTGGTTAGTATCCGCCGCTGCAGCTCCCATCTGTTAGTGCTGGTCACAAGACTAGGACTGGATTGTCGTGAGAATTAACAACCAACAGAATCACTCGCAACGTTTTTAAAGTTATACAATTGTATTGAAAACTAGGCTATGAATACCCTACAGCTTAGTTTAAAGCACGTGTAGAAGAAAGGTATCGTCAAAACAATACGCCAATTTTTTTCCCTAGTGTTTTTCTATTGTCCTCAAAGTTCACCGGACTGAATTTCTTTTGAGAATCACACTTTTCACACAGACATTTTTAAATTGTCCAAATAATTTGTAAAACTAGACCATGCATACACTATAGATTAGTTTCAATTGCATGTAGAAGAAGACTGTCTTCCAAACAATAAACCACTGTCTTTTTCCCAGCATTCTTTCTGGTGTCCACCCAAGCAATACATATAAAAATAAAAATCTGATTTTTATATTTTCACTCTGACTCATCTCCTTGGCATACTCTGCTACTCCAGCGTATTCTCTTGTCAGGCAATAGCATGTCTTCCTCTGTGGTCGTGGGACTCACAGTGGATAAAGATGGTGGAACAATCGAGCCCACAGCCCCAGCTTTCATAAAGATAATACTAATAAACACATGGTGAGCACTTTCATGGTGAGCAATAGCGAGATAAAACGGATTAGTGTGCTGCAGGCATCCTTTGCATTATTGAGATAGTCATTGTGTGTGTGTGTGTGTGTGTGTGTGTGTGTGTGTGTGTGTGTGTGTGTGTGTGTGTGTGTGTGTGTGTGTGTGTGTGTGTGTGTGTGTGTGTGTGGTGTGTGTGTGTGTGTGTGTGTGTGTGTGTGTGTGTGTGTGTGTGTGTGTGTGTGTGTGTGTGTGTGTGTGTGTGTGTGTGTGTGTGTGTGTGTGTGTGTGTGTGTGTGTGTGTGTGTGTGTGTGTGTGTGTGTGTGTGGTGTGTGTGTGTGTGTGTGTGTGTGTGTGTGTGTGTGTGTGTGTGTGTGTGTGTGTGTGTGTGTGTGTGTGTGTGTGTGTGTGTGTGTGTGTGTGTGTGTGTGTGTGTGTGTGTGTGTGTGTGTGTGTGTGTGTGTGTGATGTTCCGTCTGAAAATTGTCCGGAGGCACCTGTGTTATTTTATGAGCTGCTGCTAAATGGTGGATAGATGATGTGTGTGTTTCCATTCAGTGCTGTTCTCGACTGTCTTGCCTGTTCATCTGCAGCCTGTCTCAGTGTGTGTGTTTAGGTTTTCTGCCGCCTTGTAACGGTTGAGTCACGGTATCTGCACAGTCACAGGATGGCCAGGAAAACTCAAGCGAAACACCAGGCAAAGAATCAAGCGTCTCAAACAGACCTCCATTATTGACGAGGCGTGTACTGTCCTCCTACACAACTTGGCTGTATTGATTATGTGTGTGTCTTGGGAGAAAGGCTAGCACAGAAAAGCGAAAGCAATATATCGGAGATGCAGCAGACTCTTGTTGCTGTGCTACTGTAACTATTAGGAGCATTGACAGCTTGCTCCAAAGGGACACACACACTCACAAAGTCTGAGTGATTGGATTGAAACGGGGATTGCTGATCGTCTGTGAATTGGGGATTTAAATCACTTTGATGTGTCTGTCGTTTCAAGTGAACCCTACTGCGATATACCATGATGGTAAAGTCAATCCAAGACTTTGTACCCATTTTATCATGAGTTTAAAGCAGACTTCAGAAACTGCAGCAAAATGCAGGACAGATTTGAGTTTACTGGTTCATCATAGAGTGGTGCATTGATGAGATATTTTGTAGGCCGACTTACTCAGACGTTAGCATCTCAAGGGTTCGCTCCACAAAAAGTGTTAGATTTCTTACGTTGTATTTTGGCTCAGTTGCGTACAGATATTTTTTATACTTACTTGTTTTTTTAAGCAGGATAATCTCCAAATATAATTGTAAGCGTTAATGCATTCCGCAGAAGTAAAAAGCTATTGTTAGGCTATAAATGAACTACATTGCGATTTCATGGCTGCACGCTTAGCTCATTTAGTCACCTCTGTTTTTGAGACACAAAGAAGCTCAGACATTCATTAATGGGGAATTTACTGACCTTTTTTTTTATTTTAAGTCGTAAAACAATCTCTTAAGTTTGTGTTAACCACAGAAGATATTTCAGGCATCGAACCAAAAACGCATAAAATAAAACACTGGCTTTAAGACGAGGGAACCTGGAATGGTAACATGCTAACTCATTGCCAGGTTTTAGGACTCATTCCTGAACCACTCTCTTGTCCTTTCAGGCTAGAATTGAGAATAGAGTCTCCCCGCTTGACTCGAGTATCACAAACACAGCTGTTTCTGTACAATTTGCCTCTATTAAACATCCCTTCTGTGAAATTGTTAAAGACACAAAGGGCAAAGCCGTTTGTGCTTGCTGTGCGCCTTTCAGCTCAGCCTTCATTTGTCCAAAGAGAGTAGAAGAGGCCAGAATGGTAACAGGAGGACGTTGTGGCACCAGGCTCCGATAACCTTGAGTTCACTGCCTTGTCCGGTTTTGTCTTTTTTCCTTCTTTGGAGAATGAGTGGAGCCGATTTTGAGTGCAGATACAAACCAAACCTTTGTCTCGAAGGTAAGCGGTTCAAACCAGGATAACCCCGGCCTGTTAAAGGAAATTCAGTTCAAGCTTGGGAGAAAGAAAACACATTCAATGTGTGTAAGCTACCTTATAGCGTGTGAACGAGTAGTGGCAAAGCGCATTAATTTATTCCATGAAACACTTTCTTGACAACACATCACCAATCTAACTGCTGTTTGGATGACAGACTAACATCGCCCCTTTGTTTGGCAACTGTCTATTTGTCTGACATTGTTTATGGCATATCATACAGCTCAGGTTAGACAGACACGTCAAGAACAAGCTTCTCCTCCGTCTTCTTGGTTAGCAGGTTGACAAACTCTGCGCCATCTAATATACGATTGGTTGCCTAAAATGGAGTTGCAGTTGTATGGATTCTTACATATTGTTTTCTACCTGCAGTTTCAGAATGCATGATCTTACTGCATCATGTTTTATTCATATTATTTACAAATGCAAGAAACATGAAAATTATGTTTAAGCGTTCTAAAAGCGTTGCGGCATGTATTTGTATGTAGGTGGCATGTACCATACAGTATTGGTACTGTATTTTGTGTATGCTATTGTATAGACCAAATAATTTGCACGTTTTTGGATAAATAGTTAGTTAGTTCAATATCTTATGGTACAAGACTGTTGGTCGGACAATGTAAGCAATATGAAAGCGTCACTTTAAACAAATCAGTTATCAGTATCAGATAACGAGCAGGTTAACCAATAATGAAACCAAACCTTAGTTTTCACTTTAATAAACCACATGTCTGAACGTACCACCATCTCACACTGACTGTTGCCAAACTGCTTTTTGTTGCTCTGATCATAATTACTCTGTCCTCAGCAGTTAGCCTGCTCAGTCAGATGATCGACTACTTTATTTATCTCACACACACACACACACACACACACACACACACACACACACACACACACACACACACACACACACACACGGTAATAATACCCATGGGTAATTGAATGGGGAACATCAGCCCCCATTGATTCAGCCTGAAAGCGTTTGACCTGTATTGAGGGTGAGGGTCAGTCGGAGCAGCTGAAGTCGCCTCGTTTATCGGAGATGGACGGCAGTGTCTCTGATCTTTAAACACACTACTCAGTGTCTGCAGGAAAAGGCTCTCAGGGGACCACGGTCACTTTACATTGATGAGGATTTCAATGCAAGTGTTTTGTCCTCAACACGGTCTCTCTGCCTTTCTGTGGTCAGAGTGGTTTAGTTTACAAAGCTAAAATGTCTCCTATTTTTCAGAGTTTCCGTAGTTTAGGACAGACAAAGAAAATCATGAATTACCTTTTTATACAGTGGTTCAGATGTGATCTCTCCTGAAGCTTTTAAATGTATTAATCAACATTTATGATTTTAATTTAAACGTTGTGGCCTCTTACATTTGAGGATTTTCTGCTTTTCTCTATTTTATGTAATGGTTGAATACTTTGATGAGACTTACAAGGAGATGTTTATTAAAAAAAAGATGAATCATTAGCCCTACATTTAATAAACCAAAATAAGATTCCAACAATAGGATATTTTGTCTCAACTTGATATTATTCAGTGGTTGGTGGTTCTATAAGCCACATTTAGAGGACCAGGAGTCCAGAGTTGTTTCTCTCTTTGTACTTAATGGAGCTGTTTTAGTGAAGTTATTGGGGCTATTTCAGTTGATTTATTTTGCCTGCATACAAAAGAATCCCCCGGTAAATCTAAGCCTGCCCTGAATGCTTTCCATCTGATGATTTTAATCTAAACTTGCAAGGGGAGAATCTCTCACTTCGAGTCTTTCTCCCACGGGCAGTTTGACATGCTCACAGTAAATGATATTATAAACCGCCTCAGGCATTTGCTAGAGGCCTGTTAGGTAGGAAGCAATGGAGATATGTGAAACTGTGCTGAGGTTTGAACACCTGGACCCACTGTTGGCCCAGTACT